TCTTTGGTGGTAATCCTGCAAGTAGATCATCTAAAAAAACATCTTTATACTCCATAAAAATGTTGTTCAAGGACTCCGGGATGTAAGGTTTGTCCGTGGACCCAATATCTCTTATAAGTCCAAGGAAACATACATCATCTTTAGAAATGGATGTTGTACCCATCACAAAGAGGGGTGAATTCCTATTTTGAGATCTAATTCTATCTCCATAGATTTTCCATCCACTATTTGTAATCACTTTTCTTCTCCAATCTACCTTTGGATTATATTGCTCCATCCATGGCATTCCAAGGATAACATCATATAGAGCTAAACGAATTACTCTCCATTCAATGCTCTCCTTGTATCTACCTATGGATAATTCCGCACTCTGTGGTAGTGTTTCTATCACTTTAGTTTACCCATTTGGCAATTCAACTTCTTCACTCACTTCCTTCATCAACATCAAACCTAACTTCATAGCAACACTCCTTGATAGAAAATTCTCAGTTGCTCCAGTATCAATTAAAACTCTCACCTTGTGTACTTCCATGAAACCATCATTGACAATGAGTTGAGCTTGCTTCTTACTACTTCCATGAGCTCCCAACCATTGACTTCTTCCAACCTCGCCTTTTCTTCGCTTTGTAGAACCAGTAAGGCCGCGAGGCAAGATTACTGGTGATCTTTGTTTCCCAAAACTGCTTCCTCCACCTCTTCATACTCTATCCCCTCCATATTGTTGAACGGTCGTCGCTGCATGGGCCGTCCTCCTTGTTGTGTCGGCCGAACTCAACAAAACTTGGCTATGTGACCCATTCGTCCACATGCATAGCATTGACGATTGTCACGAACTCCAGCTCCTCCTCGAACCATTCCGTTATTTGCATAACCTTCTTGCAAATTTGGAACTCCTGGTCGCCGAATCTCACCTCCAAATCTTGGTGGTGGTCCTCTTGTTGGTGCAAAACCTTCTCTACATCGAAGGTTTCCCAACTCCATCAGTGTTGGATCAGATGGATCTCAAAAATTGCTCACTGGTTCACCGTGTGTGACACTAAAAGCACCCGAAATTCGTTGAGCAATTGCGATTGCTTCATTCACAGTAGATGGATTGATTACCATCACCTCCTTTCGAATTCGATACTTCAAGCCTCGTTTGAACACGTCCAAGGCTTCAGCTCCACTCATATCCATGATAGATACTTGAAGATCACGAAATTCTTCAATGTACTCATGAATACCTCCTTTCGGCTTCAGATCCCACAACTTCATTCTTACCGTTTGAAGAGAATCCACCGCTTGAAAATTTTGCAGAAGTCCTTCCTGCATTCCACTCCACGAAATGGTAGCACCTCGTTCTGAAACCATTCTCTCCCATGTTGTGTACCATGTGAGAGCCTTATCCGTAAGATAAGATCTCATGAACATTACTGCAATATAATCAGAAACATGAAAATGAGATAAATGAATATTCATCCTCATAATCCATCACTCTAACACTCCCATTGCTCTACTCCCTTTGTAAGCTTCCACCTTACAAGATTTTTCCATTCAAAACAAAAGATTTGCTTGATCTTCAATCTCTTGAAGACGTCTACTATTTGCCTCTACTGCATCAATAGGAGTTGGTTCTGGCTGAACTTGAGAAGCTTGAACTTAAGGTTCAACTTCCATCTCTCCAACTCTCTCTCTCTCTCTTTCTACTTTCTCACTCTCCAATGCGAAGATTTTATCTTTCATGGCTTGCTGCTTGGTATGTCCATCTACTATCGCTTTTCTCAACTCCTTCATCTCCGTCATGATTGCATTGAGAACCTCACCCATATCAATTGATGTACCCATGTTTTCTCACACTCACTCTAATACAAAGTGAGTATAATCACTATGTGACCTCTCAACAAAGGAGTCACAAAAGGTGCAGGTGACTCTATCACAGCTCTATAGTACTACTCTCCATAATTCCTCACAAGAAAATCTCTTCATATCCTCTTCTGTTTATATACTGTTCTAATCTCTACATAAGTGCTGAATCGAACGGGGACAGGTGGTTCGCGATTCAAATCCATGAAAATTTTAGTATAAAATGTATATAGTACAATCCCAAGTCTCTGCATAAATAACTATTGGAAGAATCAGTAGCACTCTTGACTCCATCACTCTAGTCATAAAATCTGCACCCCAACAAGCTACAAGGTACATCAAAAAATGATGTTTCTCCATGCAACAAAGGTGAATATCGAATAGGTTAGGAATTGGCCGGTGCGGTACTGGATTCCTGTCAATTCCGTCCATATCTGCAAAACCACAATTTTCCCCTTTCCACCTCTCTCTACATGCAGATGAATGACCTCTGCTAGCCTCTATACACTCTCAAGACTACACTCCATCATCACTCACTTGCTATTCCATGAGGGTTAATCCACACTCAAGGAAAGAGCAAGGTCGCTCCGAAACCATTGTAACACTAGGGTTTAGAGAGAAGCTCACTCGAAGATAGAAACGTAAACTCTGAAGATAAGAGATACCAACAATGGTTCTCCTCTCCCTTATATAGCTCTCACCAACAAGTACAAGGAGATAAGATCTAATCTCCACCATCCATCCCACTCATAGTGGATGGATGACGTGGCAGATAATCCAAACAAGCACACGGATCGCTGACGTGGCGCACCCAACTAACACACTCAATCCTTACCTACAAGCACACGGATTGTTGACGTGGCACTGTCAACTAACATATCCACTGTGTACCTACCGAGTGCGCGGATCGCTGACGTGGCAGCTAGCTCTAGTACACACTAAAGTATCTACATCAATATTTAGAGTAAACTCTACTTTAGTTCTAACTAACTAAAGATGGTTACAGCATGGTTATAATATGATGAAAAGATGTTGAAATCTCTTAAACAGGTATTCTTGCTCACATTAAATAAGCATAGGAATCATATGAAGTTGATAAAATTGCATTTTGGTGTCTCGTCTGCTCCAAATGATGTTGAGAAATTTCTCCTTAAGACGCTCACGAAGGGCCATAGGTTGCAGATCCCAATCTAGTTTCATCACATTCCATCTCAAAGATCAAGTCATCACATCTGCAAACCATCCCTTGGAACGTGTGGCACGCAAAGCATGAAGAGTAAGTCGAAAAGCATCAAGATATCTCATACTTCTAATATAAGTGAAGGTCAAGTAGAGAGATTCAGCCTCAAGAGGTAGACAATTTGTTTCTACAAGAAGAATAGTATAAGGAGTTTGGTTCCTTACACCTAATTCTTCTTGTAAGAAGATCTTTTGCATCCTCTCCACACGATCATAACCTTTCTTATTGCCATGACCCCACACTTGTGTCCCATATAAATCCACCGGCAACACTAAACTCCTAAATTAAGACTCCAAGACACTAGATGAGCTCTTCTACATCAATTTAACAATTAATATAGAGATTTGTACCCAGTTTCTATTCTCTTGCGCACACAAAGTGACCTAAAATCCTCGGTTAAATATTTGTAACTCTTCACTTGTTCCAATTTTAATCATTTATAAAAGAGATAGAACTTGGATCTAGTGCTCACAAGAATGATCTTTAATTTTTCCAGATGGAAGTCAAGAGGTGTTTCTGCAAACTAATTGCATCACGTGCTAGTAATATGATATCATATATATACAAAAGAGCTTTGATCACAAAGTCTTCAAGTTTGACTTTTTCACTCTCGCAGTCATCCAACCACCTTTCTATATTGTCTATGAAAATTATGAATAGAGTAGTAGAGAGTGTATAACCTTGAATAACTTTAATGGTGCTCAAGATCTCTTGAAACTGAGAGTCATCAATCTTAGTTCAAATTGAACTGTATAAAGTGGCCACAGCTTCAATGTTTTGTAGTCTTTCCCATAATAGTATCAAAAGTTCTCTTTAAATCCATGAAAGCACAAAATAAAACTTTACCATTACATTTGATTTCTCCCATAAAACACATAAAGGCCAAAATATGGTCAATAGTGTTGTATACAAGGCAAAAGCCAACTTGCACTTTTGCTCTCTTTTGAAAATCCTTTTTACATGGGCTCAATTTTGATTCTAACAATTTCCCAAACAACTTGGACTGAAGAAATATAACATGTCTTACCAAGTTGTCTTTCATCTTGTAATATAGTCCCTCCAATTCGTAAATAATATATCCACCCGAGATATCACTAGAAAATCATATTAAGATAACATCTATCTATTCATGACGAGGAAAACATCATGATCATACTTCTCTTGGGCGGTGGGCAAAAAGAGGCTAGCATAACTAGCTTTTTCCGTTTAACAGAACAGTAATCATTCATTTGTGATACGATATATTACTTATGGACAGATCGACGATAAGCGACAAAGACGTCGCGTCTAACGTTGTGGTAGTACCTGCACCTTGATCACAATGCTGCAAAATTCCGCATGCAAGTATTGAGTTGCAGCGGTTCGCAACACTTCTGACATAGATTCTCGAGAGAATGTGAATGCGATAGATTCGATCACAGTGCGTGAAGAAACACTTCGACAAGTTAGACCATGAATATCACGCCCATCCTCTTTCACCTTCCATCCTCTGTTGCGAAACGATCAGAATCACCTCTTCTTCTTACTGCTCGTACAGAACGATGGAGGTTTGTACGCCAGCGTTCTGATTCTTTTCTTTCTAAAGAACATTTCCCTACGCCTCCCCTTGGTGGTTGAAGTTACGCATTCTCCTTTCTTCAGGAAACACCTCAGAACAAGACGTATTCAACCTCTCGACACAAGGTTGTTGTAGCTGTCCTGCTCTATCACATTGCAGTCAAGAAAAAAATGGCCCCGCAATGACCACTGATATACACAGCTAACGACTGAAACGCTATATCCAAATATGCTCTTCTGACGCAAAGTTGGAAATCAACTAGTGGGTACGTGAAACACGAGCATCACCGATTGATTTTCAAGACGAGGTTTGAGTTCCACTCCTAAATTACAAGATCAACTCGCACCGATCGAACACTTGCTCGAAATAGTTTCACCACGATCCGAGGGTGTGGTCTAATACGGTGAGAACAATTTATATTGATTTATACGTGATATTCAACCTTATCCTCAGTTTAGCTGATGATTGAAAGCCGGGAATTGCTCTCATCACCCTTTACAGTAAGATCTTCCCTCTTTCTTCAAGTAAACTTCTCCTGACAATGAGAGATACGGAACAAGAATTTGATAGAAAGAGGACAACCCCATGAAGTGACAATTTTAACACCTACAAACACAACCAATCAAAGCCCCAGCCCTAGTTTTACCATGGGCTATGCATACTCGAGTACGACAGTCTAAATGGCAGAAGTAATGAATTCCCCAAACTGATTGTCAATTTCTGCAAAAGTCACTTGTAGCATCATTTGGCTGTGGTCTACGTGGTGGCCTGCATCCAAGTCCACTGAGAAGGACGTGAGCCGAGAGGAGTGAGACCCTCCTTATCTGGCATGGTTGAATCAGCACCCTTACTAATGAGATATTTTGCAATGTCCTCTTGTTCACATGTGGCAGCATAGTGCAGTGCAGTCTGACCCTCCAAATCCTGCAATCCGTCAAACACCAATGTCAAGCAAGGACAAGGGCAAGTTTAGCACGTACACCACTAGGTCGTATAGACGTATTACTACGAGGCCAAAATCTTCTCGTGACCTCATGCAAATCTTACAAAACTCTATATGAATATAATTGGTACTAACAATGCGATTCAACCACATACGGTCAACTATTACATGATTTCAGAAGACAAACCCTCGAGATAGGTGAATATCCATGAGGTGTGAATCCATTTCCTGGAACAACTTTCATAATGTTCAACCACTACAATACCTTGAACCAGCGTTCTCATGATCCATTCATTTTCGTGATTTGCTAGGAACAACGAGATTATATGTAAGGAAGAGAAGTGCATAGTTTGACCTTAGAATTAATCTGTGCACCCTTAGCCAGAAGAAGTTCAACCGCGTGCAAGTGACCCCGATCCGCTGCCCAGTGAAGTGCGGTGCGGCCATCACTATCTGCAAGACCAATGAAGCAGGAAACAAGATTAGTTTACATCCACCAGGAAGCAAATTGATCTTCATCTCGACCTGTAAAACAACAGAAGTATGTGTGGCCTACCTGACCGTCATTCCACACACAAAAACAAAACTTCAGACACTGATGTTTGGACTCCTTTGTAGACTAGCTTTCTTTCACATTGCCCAGTAACTCGAACAAACATGCAACCGCGTCACAAGATGTCATGGGAAGTATAGGTAAGCTGTAGAGTGGCTCACCATTAAGATCAACTGCTGTGCCACTTTCTAATTGTTGATTCAAACCTGCTATATCACCTTCTCTAGCACACACGTGGATGGGCTCCAAAGTGCTGCAAAACAAACAAGTAAAATTGAAAACTCATTCAGCCGAAACTGGAAAGACAAACTTTTCAGCACTACGGAAGGTTAAGCCAGGACAATCAAGAACTAAGTCGAATTCGGACTTGAGACCTGTTTCACCGCTATCATTCATTACCTCAAAAAATATATATGAGTACTTCACAACATAATAAACAAGTTTAAACTTTAGACTGAAAATCACAGATCTTCCTCGATTTACTGTAATACAAAGATTATTATAGGGAGCAGCTAATTATCCCTCAGTTTAGGCTAATTATCCCTCACCCTATACTCTACAGAAGAGAGGTCTGTGATTGGTCAGAGGTAAACAAAAATGATTTCGATACCATGCAAGGACAGGGAACATGCAAGGACAGTGACCGGACGGGGGATAGAGATTATTATAGAGAGCGGCTAGTTATCCCAGTTTAGGCTAATTATCCCTCACCATACTATACTCTACAGAAGAGAGGTCTGTGATTTGTCAGAGGTAAACCATGCAAGGACAGGGACAGGACGGGGGATAAAGATTATTATAGGGAGCGGCTAGTTATCCCTCAGTTTAGGCTAATTATCCCTCACCCTACTATACTCTACAGAAGAGAGGTCTGTGATTTGTCAGAGGTAAACAAAAATGATTTCAATACCATGCAAGGACAGGGACCGGACGGGGGATATAGTCTTCGCGGGGGGATACCACGACTGGTATCCCCTGGTATAGAATGGGTGAAAAGAAAAAATGTCCGGACTGCATTCGCAGGGATCTCGTGAATTCCTCACTGCCTGAACTAATGCTTCCAGGAATTCGCATTGGGCCTGAGAAGACCATTCCACCACTCTATGGATCGAATCCCGCATTCAGTGCTTGGGTGAACATTCAGACCAAAGCAAATTCGAATGGGCTTCTGAGCTTTCGTCTCAGAAGCCCATCTTTCAAGATTTGCCAGGCGTAAAATACCATTGTATTCGAGGAGTTAAAGATCTTCAAGGAATACCGGATCTTCAAGGAATACCGGGTCGACGTCGAGGCAGATCTAAATATGGTACACAAAAACCCAAAGATTATCTATGAATTTATTTGGAAAATCGAATTTCAACTGTGTTTTTAGTTCATCCCTTGATTGGTTTCACTCATCAAGACTTTCAGAGAAGGTGGGAACCACACGAGCAAGCAGACACTTGCAGTGGACGTGCAGAAATGGGTGAGACAGAAGTCGCATATGGGAGGACAGAATGTCGCGATACCAGTCGTGGTATTCCACCCACCCAATTTTTTTAGATTACCAATCACAAACCTCTCTTCTGTAGAGCATAGTAACGTGAGGGATAATTAGCCTAAACTGAGGGATAACTAGCCGCTCCCTTATTATATCAGATAAATATTATCTTTTGACCACAAACAACTGAACCCTTTTCGACGAGTGCCCTAACTTCACACAAACCATCTTAAACATCCACGACCTAATCGAATTTCTATTTGTCACATCAATCTGGCAGTTAATCATTCCTTCAACTCATGTAAACTGTTCGGTTTGATTAAGTAAAAATTTGACACCCCTGCGCTAGAAACAATAAAAAACAGTAATATAAGAGTCAAAAGAAGGTACCCTTCTTCATCGCCTCCTTCCTCGTTCATCACTAAAGAGCTGAAAACGGGACCCATTCCGCCTCGTTGGACAGCTTCTCCATCAGTGCTGCTTTGAGGTTGTTCTTCCGCCTGCAGTCGGAATCGATCGTGCAATTCAGTCATCTACTTGCATCGGAGCAAAAGTGATGCAGCCCACTATAATACTTGAAAATAAAGTAGAAGTTCACCCAGAACTAGGTTTGAGAAACTTTACTTGCGGTAAGCCCTTGTTCCAACCGGGACTCATCTCCGAAACCACAGCAATGTAGCGATTCATGGCCTCCTCCGGACCGATGTTTCCTAGCTTCTGCCAAGCATTCCTTGCACACGCCACCAAAAATGGTCCCTCCATCACTCAGGCATCCTGCCAGGAGGACTTCTGTCACCGACATTATGATACACAGTGCTAAGATAGGTCCGAAGTTTTCCCCTTTTACTATGGGCCCCTTCCTGCCCAGGCCAAGATCACTATCGGGATCACGATGTAATCTTTTCTTGTGAACGGGAATCTTTCGTTTTCAATGTGTGGCAAAACGCTTCTCACGTAGCTGTAGTGCTGGCTGACAAAGTCATCCAAGAAACAGCGGTCCTCGAGATGTAACCTTGTGCATCTCATTGTAAACTCGCAGTATTAAGCTCAATGGCAGCACTAGTAGAGAAAGATTCCTCGTAAAGAACAGGACAAACTCTGAGACTAGTGGACCACGTCAATATCAGATTGGCAAAACCGTGACCTTCACACCATGGGTATTGAACGACATGGTGTAGAACACCTGCAGTGGCTCCTAACAAGTGAGACTCAAACTCAAAGGCTTTGAAATTCGGGACCCCAAACAAATATCGGGCCTCCCCCTACGCTGTTACAAGACCCAATTGACTATGGCCTTTGCTTAGTGCAAGTGCACTTGAGTTTCAAACTGATGAGTGATTACCCTTTCAGCACCTATTAAACGAAACGCAGGCACTTGCAAAGCCGGCAATTTCAAACCGGCACAGGTTGTGTAAGATGTGCAAGCTTAGTGCTCGAAATCACATTGCTTCTTCCGAGGGGAAATGCCCAGAGAAGACAAGCTCGTTCAACCGTGCATCCCATCGGCAAGCAGTCCATGCTGAGCTCCTAGAGAGTCTCGAATTATGAGCAGAGAGAAGTCCATGTGAAGGGTTTGGAGGGCATGGCAAAAACGACTGAGAATCTGGGAATCCGAGCAAACTGGGTCTCCCGAGAAATGCCACCGGAAAGACAATGGCAGAGCTAAAAGTTACACCACGGGATGGGATCTCCGAGACCAGTCACTTTTGTACCGCAGCTCTCTTAAGGCGATTGTCGCAGTACTGAGGGCTCGAGGAATTTGCAGAATGGTCACTCATCCAAAGGGGAGCACAAATGAAATGCACACAAAACCGAAACCGATCGCATTCAGCACAGAGTGAAAAAAAATTGCTCGCAACAAGACTCTGAGAACAAGCCCGTGAGCATACCATTTGGCGCGTGCGGACATTTTGTAAGCAGACGGCTGAGGCGTCGAGCACGGCCCTTCGGTGGCGAGCTTGTAGAGTCCATACAGAAGAAGCTGAGTGTCATTCGATACCTTCAACCCGGGGCCGACAGCCTGCGTCGCCACAAAAGTGGCAGCGGCACCGAACAGCTCTTCCAATTCTGAGCTCTCCACGCCTTCCCACTCATCGGAATCGGACAGTTCTCCGGGGCCCTCGACGGAGTGTTTGACTTTCTTTCCCTCCTCGTCATTCGCAGCAACATCACCACTCGCTTCGGGCTGTTCCTGCTTCTCAGAAGTGGTCTCCGCAGCCTTGACTTCATTCTCCTCCGCAGCGTGCTCCGGCTGGGCTGAACCACTGGACGAGTCTTTTTCCTGGGCTGAAACCTTCGCCTGCTGCTGCTCCACCGATTTCGCTTCCGCGAGATTATGCAAAGAGGCATCGACAATCGGCGGGGTCGACCTCTTTTCTAACTCTTCCGCCGCGGGGAGATCGGTCTCCTCGGTGCGCCCGAGGCTCCTGGGCGCTGCGGAGCCTACCAATTCAGAGCGCTGCTCAATCTCACGGGAATTTTCCTCCTCTTCGTCAGAGGAACTGCTCGCCTCCTCGTCGTCGCCCAGCAACTCCTCGCCTTCAGAAGCGTCGGAAATCAACCCCTCCTTGTCGGCCGAGCCCCTCTCCACGCGCAAATTCTCGCCTCGAAAAGAGATCACAACCGACACCAGCTTTGCAACCATAAACGCGAAAATTAATGCTATCACGGAAGCCTGCACGGCTTCCTGCCAGTCCGCCATGATTGCAAGGCTCCCCCAGCCCCCCTGCAGTCTCGTCCCCCGCACCCCTCTATTCAATTGCCCCTCGCTCAAAGATCCCCCGATCCGACACCAACCACGACTCGCGCTCTCAAGGCCTTCCTCCTCGTCCCTCCTCCTCCTCACCGAGAAATTGCAAGCCTACGTGACCGTCTGTCGGCCTGCCTGCCTGCCTGCCTCCCCTCCCTTCACTTCGCTTCGCTTCGCTTCACATCATCCACGAAGAACAAACATTCATTCCCTGACCTGGAACACAGACAAATGCTGCGACGCCGCCGCTCTGCTCTGCACAATATCCAGCAACACACAAACGCACACACGGAAAGAATCAGACAGCTGAACAGAGCCGCGAGTCCTCCTGAATGGTGCTGCTGCTGCTGCTGCTGTTGATGTGGTGCTGCCTGTCTCGCTTGCTTACTGCTGTCGATGGGTCGAGTGGGCCTCTGCCTCTGCCTCTACTACTACGCTACGCTACGGTGCTAGTCTGGTCTAAAAGACGCAGCCCCCGGGAGGGCAGAGAGCAGCGGAACGGGGGCACGGATGGTGCCGTGGGGTTTCCTCTTTTACCAAGCAGCACGAGACCGAAGGAGCCGAAGGGGGGGAAAAAGGTAAAGAGAAGCAAGCCCAGCCAAGCCCAGCCAACAAGCCAACAAGCCCAAGCCCAAGCCCCAGACGCAGTGCTTCTTGTTGGGGGTAGTGCTAGAAGTGGTAGCGGTGGTAGAGAAGTGCTAGCAGCAAGCACATTACGTGTCTACTGAATGAGTTTGTACTCACCCTAGAACGGAACGGGACCACCATCGCTCTTCCTTTCCCCACCGAGTCCCAACCCCAGCCCCCGCGCTGCTCCTCTTGGCCCTCTTCTCTCAGTCTGCGGTACCGTTCGCTGTCGGCCGATTGCACAAGGGCTCTCTCCACATTAAGTAGGAGGCTACTTGGGGCTTGGTGCTTGGGGTTGGGCTTGGGGCTGTGAGCCACGTCGCGTGCACCGAATGTCTCTCTCTTCCCCCTGAGGTGGTTAAGTTGAAGAATGAATGACTCTGTCTTCTTCGCTCGTTCGTTCTTTCGTTCAATCGCTCGCTCGCTGCTTCACTCACTCAATCGTCACTGGCGTCATTATGGTTTATTATTATGTTCGACGGGAGAAGAAGCATTGGACCGAGTCTTCGCCGGTAGCCTTCGGCTGATGAACTTCGATCGCCCTCCCCCCATCGCTTTCTTCAGTCCACGCCATAGGCAGATGAGTCAGAATCATCCGATTGTTCCGCACGACAACCGAGGCCATTTAATGTTTTCTTGTACAGGGCGCAGCGGTGTGTCCTCTACTCTACTACTATACCCTCCTGATCCGAGTCTCATTTTAACTCCAGGTCGCCCAGCCCTCCTCTCCCTCTCCTTCCGTTTCTGCCACCTCCTCCTCTCCATCTCCAACTCTCGAATCATGTTTGCACTTCCAGATAGAATATGCGCATTATTTTTATTGTCGTCACTGCGGGCCTGGATTGGATTGGACGGTTGGACCGACTCATGAGCCCCAGTGCCCCACCAATTCTCCGTATGTCTGTCTGTCTGTCTGTCTGTCTGTCGTCCTTCTTCTCAGGCCCTGGTTTCTGGTTTCTGGTTGGCCCCTTTCGAGCGAGTCCAAATTCTCCACTGTACGCGTATGTCGTCGTTGCTCTATGTCTGTCTACGTACATCGAGAGGCCCCAGACCCACGAGACCAGACGAGACGGGATCCGGTGCATGGGCCTCTCGTCGCCATTATCTGCTTCTCGTTTCGTAACTAGAGTAGAGTCTAGACTGGAGAATTATAATCTTGCTCCGAAATTATTCACAGCAGAACCCATTCTCCTGGTTGTCGACCTTGTTGTGCTGGCGGATCGAGGGAAGAGGTCGTCTCCATCCCTAAGTCGCCATGCGAGCATTTCTGGGGAACAATCTATTTAAGGAGAAGTTCGAAGTTGTTCCTTTGCATCCAGAGCGCTCGAGCTACGTAGCAGCATGGAGCTGGCATCTTTGTGTGTGTGCTCGATTCATTAATATATTATCTGCGCAGCCCACCCGCTCGCTCGCGGGAGGGCGGCGTCCTTCACGTCTTTCACGTGATGCAAAGATGGTGCAAGTGATTGGACAAGATTTCTAGTCGACTCAGATCAGTGGCATTCGAGATTTGATTTCATCGAGAGGAATCATAGCCAGAAGGGTCTCAGTCCATTGGAACTTGTTTCCTCTCCCAACATTACTAACATTGAACATTGCTGACGATACAAATAATTACAATGCAGTAGATCATCAGCCTAAGAAATTAGGCTATAATGAGAGCAACAAGAATGGCTCAAGTTTGAATACACGAGCAATAGTGGCAAGAGTATTGACATGGTTAATTTTTTCTCATTACACACGTGCTTATCAAAGTTGTCGAAAATTGAAGAAATCTGGTAACAGACACTTTATGCGTATGAGTTGATACTGTTATGGAGGTACATGGATCTTGTGATGATGTGAATTGCAATTTTGAATAACACAACAACTATATCCTCATAGAAGTAAGGCTCAATGTGCTTCGATTTTTCACCCCAAAAAATGAACAAATGCGCATCAATATTCTCTACAGACAGTACAAATATCACAACCATATATACTACAAGACCACAACCATAGCCATGTGCCAAAAGCATACAAATCGAGTGTAATATGACAAGCTCACAATGCTTGTATATTTACGAACCTGTACTATTTACTTCCACGCAAGTCTACATAGATTACCTCCTGTCAGAGGCAATCTATGGTATCGTACAAGCCGTATCAATTAACGAAAAATAATAATCGCCTTATGTATTTCGGTTATCTTTGTTTAAACAGCAGTAACAGCGTACGTTTGATCACTTGTCTTTTCGATAAGAAGAGTTCAATCCTGCCGTCAGCTTTGAGTGACTCCACCTCCTTGCAAAATATATTATGATTTCTGGTTACTTCGTGTACACTAGATTCGTGACGAGTGAAAAAGAAATCCGGTTTGGTGAAGAAACAGGTGTAATCGAATTAGCCATTTTTTTAATGACTCATCCAATGGCCGGGAGTACTCCCACTTGGATAAGGCATCACCGGTGCAAGGTTCAGATAGGAGCAAGGGTTTGTTCAAGGCAGGTTGTGACAAGTCACCGAGACTGCATTGAAACTGGATTCGTGCAGTGCTCTGGGTAAAAAAAAAAAATCGTCACACGCTTTAAGTAATCGACGTCTGCATACACTTGTTTGGTTTCAGTTGTTTTATTTTTCAAGAGGAAAAAACCGAATGATAATAATACCCAATTGTCATATCGGTGTAATATTACCAACCATCCATCCATCCATCCATCCATCGAAGTAAACCCAAAAGGAGACGCCACCGAATCGAACAATAGAGCTTCTAACAACCTCGTGAAGTCAAGTGAATCATACGTCGAGTCAAATGTGTCGGTCACAAAATAGTAGAGGCGAAGAATATGCCAAGGGCAGCACCGCATCTGGTTTACTGACTGACGAAACCGGGCCTCGGTTCGAGCTCTGTCGAGAATGTAACCCGAGTTCAGAGAATTCCCTTCTAGTCCTGGAGACTCGGTCGGTCATAACTTATAGAGCACATTTCTCCATGCACACTCTGTTTACTCTCAATACTGGGCACATCCTCGAACTGCATGCTTCGTCTAATTGGAATGCATAATACTCTGATAATGATAACTACTGTACTTGAATGTGAATCGGAACCATTTCTTACACATGATTGTAGATGGGCGGCAAATACGGTTTTAAGCTCTTGTTTCGATAGATTTGGATACCAATTTCAACATGCTCGCGAGTACTGAAGACTACCGACCATACTGAAGGGACATGGAATATCACTCCCTGAGCTTTTTAATGTATTAAATCCACTGCTGTACATACGAACCGTTTGACTCAGATAGGTTGAGTTTCATTCGGGACTACTGTACTTGATGAGATCTTCCCATACTTTTCATTCATTCACTTCATGTTTTCACATTTCCGCATTTTTTTCTTCATGAGGATCCTGCACAGCATGCAAAGCAACTACTTTATGTGTGTAACGTTGACCTTTGCACGATGGACCGGATCTCGTAAGTTTTGCTGTACATCTATAGCAAAAGTTAACGAAGTGTGTTAGTAATCTGACTGTAAGTTCTTCCCACCAATGTTACTGTGAAGCACTTTGTCTATGAAATGTGTCAAATTACGGCATCACTTCATGAATTAAGGTTTACAGGACAAGTCTATTTGGGTTTTGGGGATTTGTGGGTTGCTAAATCAACCTTACCTCGTTCTAGTGTCCCACTAGGACGAGCTAATGTTGTCGGTATATCTCAATCCGAGTGCAGGTTGTACTCAATGAAGATTGTGGCACCAACGACTCTGAACATTGATAAAAATATTTACGTTATATGCACTTGCATGCAAATTCTTGACTCTCTGAATTGGTGCTGCTGCCATGAAGCTAACGTATCGTAGTGCTCACTTTGTGTGCATACTCCGCTTTATGCACACTTTTGCCTGCCTCTTTATTTTCATCCCTTTTCTGCTCGCTCTCTCAAACGTCAATCCTCGTCGTAATTGGAAGAAGGGGCCGGATATTCCATCTCACGCACATTCACACATTCAAAGCACTATTAACTACGCCGACTTCTTTGGTAAAGCCAAAGAGGTCCGTGGTGAAACTAAAAGGGCACGACGCAGAGACAAACGGAGATGTTCATCTGAAAGCGCATGAATTTCTGGACAAACTACTTCTAGAACTCCTAGAGACCGTAGCTGCTACTTGGGTATCATCGGCAGCGAATTGGTGCCGCAAATCGGTTCCAATTGATCTTGTAGAATGAAAAAAAGGAAGTCCATTTAATCCTCTTCAGCTAGACCGGAGGCCGGAATGGCCACGAGCCTTTCTCCCTCTTCTCTTGTACTTTGGAAAGAGAGCCAGTCCCGTTGCCATCGCCACATTGGCCTCAAGAATTGTTCCGCTTGCCATCGAAAGGCTACGAAAAAGAAAAGCTCTATTCCAATTATGTATCATTGCTCCAACATCCGAATCGGATTGCAGGCCTCAGAAGGCCCACTTTTACCGGTTCAGATAAAGGTCCCGGTGGTAGAAGTTTCTGAGGACTTGCGAAAGCTTCGACTTTTCCACCCACACAAGATTTCTTGGCTTCGCATGATTCTCGAGATGACCTCCCTCCCTTCCATTAAATATCCCTTCATCGATGCGTATAAAAATACTGTGTACATACGTGAGAGTATTCGTATATCACACCGTATTCGTAGAGTGACTAGACGAAACAGACAACGCGCGAAGAAGCGATTTCGTCATTTCATCAGAAGTGCGAGCAAAATGCACATTCAGCACTCGCGTAGCGAATTTCGCTCTCGGGGAATCACGAGCATGGGAATTTCCCAGTCGGGCAGACTCGGGCAGACTCGGGCTGCTTTACAAAACATCGATCGAGAGGAAGGGAGGTGCATTTCACGAACATTTCGACGTGGAGAACCGGTACCGCGACGGAGTTCGGTCCACACTCCGGTTACCGGTTACCGGTCACCGGTCGCTCGCTCAGCCCGCCGGACGGTTTATTGCTCGCCGTCGTCCGCATAATCGCTCAAAGAGCATGCGGGCTCCCGAAAGACTCGTGCAGCGGACGGAAGCGGAAGCAGAAGCGGAAGCCGTGTAAGAGAAATTGAAAGACGCGGCGACAACGCCCGAACCACCTCCGCGGTGACGAACGTGTCGTATTTTTGAAATCGGGCCGGCGCTCCTGCGGCAGCGGCATCCGGAGATTCGTCGCTCGATGCCCTCGAGCCGCGATGGACATTTGTCGTCGTGAGTTCGGAGCTCGGATGTCTGCTGCTGCTGCTGGCGAGGAATGGGACGAGACCAGCGATTTGCAATTCGTTCGTTGGTCCGTCGACTCGTCGAGTGCGATCGTTCTCGTGGCCTCGTAGCGCATCATCTGACACTCTTTCACTCTCCCGCCTTCAGAATGGGCTCGACCCGTCACCATCTTGTCCCCGCACATGCCGTTCCTTGTGGGGGAGGAGGCAGACTCCACTTGTTCCCGCGGTGCATGAGCTGACGGTCGACGTTTCGCTTCGGAGGAGGAGGAGGAGGAGGGGCTGACGATTGAGGCCAGCATTCTCTGAGATTCTTCGACTCGCGTCGCTCCTGCTCGTGGTCGTCAGTTTTGCACCTTTCCCATGAGCCGAACTTATCTGCAGACCGTCCGCCGATTCCGGTTGTGTGCAGAATGTCCGAGTGAGTGATACGTTGGAATTTCGTTTGCCATCTTGTTTCCTCTTCCCGCCAACTCCGTTTCTTTGAGCTCGTGGTGGCGAAATGAACAGACGAGCATCTGCCCTTGACTTGTGGCGCGTGGCAGAGCGTTCTCTCCATGTTTGTGCGTTGAATCGGTTCTGCTTCCTCGTCAGCTCAGAATGTTCTGCTTCTCAGGCAAGATGTCGTGCACTTCTGAGCCTTCCGAGGAATAAATAGCAAGCCCTCTGCGTAAGCGAATTCCGGCAAGAGAAGACAGGCCTTGTATCCAAATTCTGAGGCTTTGAGATAATTCACCATGGAGGACGATGACACGAGCTGGATGAAACTTGACAGCGGCACTCCCGAAGCAAAATTTCCGCACACCACCGTCGTCAAGTACGTTCTTAACGCTGAATGGAACCTCTGCGGTGGCAATTCGACTGAATGGGGTTGATTTCGCCAGCTCTGGACTACCATAGGAAATTCGGAGATGTGTTCTATGATTGGAGATAAAGTTAGAATCTCTCAGGCTTTATCATCCATGCTTCGAACAAGCCGGGGATAGATCAGTGCATTGCAATTGACAATGGTTTTAGGACCTTGGATAGTTCCTGACGTAAACGGCTGGTTGTAGATTGACTTTATCACAATTTATTACGCCACTCATGTTGGAATTACTTGTCGTGAATTTTTTGTCCATGTTTCTTCTACTCCTTGTCTCAATTCACGTGGCTGAATTTGTACTCCACCCATCTCTGAGGTTCTCTTTGAGTGCCGGTTTGCCTGCATACGTTAATTTGAGAAATTCGCTCTCTGCATATGTTCGCTTCTATTCTGAGCGTTACCTGACACTTCAGCAACGGGAAAATTGTGACTTGGTGCCTGCTGTAACAGGAAGCGCAACAAACTGATCATGCTGGATGACCTCATACGCGAAAGAGAGAAGAAAAAGAAGCAGCGTAGTAATCTGACCCTCGAGGTGGAGAACGACAGCAGCGCAACAGATGACGAGGAGGATGACCCGGCGGATAAGAAGGCTGAAATTGTAAAGAAAATGTTGAAAAATCTTGAAAGCGAAGTAAGCGCCTGAGCTACGCGCATGGTGCCCTCTTTCTCTTCTTTTGATTAACATGACATATCCGAGCCTCCAAAGATTCTCTCTAAATCGGCTCCCTTGCCACGTGTGTAGTCTACTGCCGTGGACGAGATAGTCAGTCTTCTCAACTGGGGCGAGAAAGTCTTCTTTTCACAGGTAATCATGAACCTTTCACTTCGCTGTGTGGGCATGTCAAGTTGCCAGTAGTGTGTGTGAGAACTACAGCAAAATTCATCTCGTGAACGTCTGCTTACTAAACTGCTAGAAAGAGGGCACTTCACGCTTACACGAGTCGCGATTTGCGCAGAAGCCCCTGGCGAATCATATCACATCCGAAGAGTGTCTCGCATTATGTCCAGGTACTCTATAGTACCAGGGAAGTACACAGTCCGCCAATTTAGTTCGTTTTATGACAATTGACTATGTCTGAAGAGAGCGTATGTTTTCTGGCTTTAAAGACTCCAAAATGGGGAAAGATGGTTGTTTTTTGTGAACTTTTTAACGGAAGGAAACGTCCTCTTTATGTGTTGGTTCACTTACATCAGCGCTTCCGCATGACATTCATGGGATTGTGTGAACTGCAGATGGGATTCCCTCTGCAACGGGTTTGCTTCTCAGTGGTTTGCTTCGATCTTTGGTTATTTCCGAGGGTCGTTGTGACGAGGAAACAACGCGCTGGATATACTCACAAAGTAAGTCAACATAACATTTCTTCTTCTTTACCTCTTCCACTTGCTGGACAGCAAATTAGACAATATGTGCTTTCAAATTTGAAAGTTGAAAATATGCAAGGGTACAGATATGCTGGTTGTTGATGTTGCCTGAGATTTTGTTTGTTATAATTTGTAGTGATCTACTCGCCAAGCGAGCATCTGGAAAAAGCTGCCTGTCAGCTTCTGCGTGACCTTTTAAGTCTCGAGCGACCGGTAAGACCCCTCATCGTGATTTGTCAAGAGCTGACCAAGCTGTCAACTATTGACACGGAGGATCTGATCTTAAACCTGAATTAAGTTGTATTGGTAATAAGTTGTTTGATATACCCTTCCAACGGGGAGAAGCTTACTCACTCTCTCTAGGCATGTTGTACCAGGACAGGACTCCCGTCTGTAAACTTGAATGGATTCCAAACTTTACAGAAATAACGGAAGTGTTCGGTAGCTACGGATATAGGAAGGCTACTCTTATGAAAGAGAGCGGTTCTTGCTCAAAACAGGCAGGTAAACTTTCACCGTGAGTCAAGTGTTTCGGCAGTGGGGAAACTTGTAAACTGAAAGCCTTGTCCAGTAGTTCTCAATACAGAGTAGTTCTCAATACAGAGAGGAGGGACTGTAGGATTCGGATCGTTGATGATATGACGGTTTTTGTTATGCTTTGCTCCCTTTGTCAGTCTAATACTGACCTTGTATTTCTTACAGATGCTAACTGTCTTGGTGTGACGACTGTCGATGGCCTACCAACCAATGCTGATCACGTAGATGGTCCCCCTCCAAACATACGCTCGTTTGTGGCGTTTCTGACATCCTTCTTTCAGACAAGGTGCTTTCATTGATGTCATCATCATCGCTTTCAAAATAGACTCTAATAACATGTTATATCAGGCAGGACACAAATGATGAAAATAGCTTTCACATCGAATACTCGTCCTAAGCGGAAGCGTTTTCTTTTAAAATAGAAGACCTTTCCCTACACTGACTCGAATTCTGAATGTCTGTTGATCTGGTGTCAGAAACTTCTATCAAACGTTATCAGCATCTGAAGCAGAAGAATTGTTAGTCACCCTCGTGCATTGTCAACTGGATCGTCGCATGGAGACTATATCTTTTCTTTTCAAATCGTGTTTAAAGGCCTTGGTGCACTACTTTACAGAGGAAGAGTGGGACCATAGTTGTCCACGCATCGCTGCATCATTTTACAGGTGCTGACCGGCATCTCTACACATCGATTTCAAGTATAGTGGATCTAGCTCCTAACTGATACGTTGTTCTTGTTCTTGTCAGCCATGTTCTGACTCAGTGGAGGTTATCTTACTCTTTGCAGCATCAGTTCGAATTACATGAACCATCTGCGCGCCGTCAAGAGTTTACATGCTGGAGACAATCGGCTGTGTTCATTGCAAAGATCAGTAGTTATTCAACTCCTGGGAAGAAGGTTAAATGTATGAGACTTTTACCATAACTTGTTCTATACTCCGAGATGTATTTTATCGCAGAAAACCTCATGAGATCTGTTTTCACTTTTGCAGATAGAAATTTATAGTGCCTCGGATGTAGTCTCCATTTTCAAACCGATAAAGACCAAGAAAGTGCATTTCAGTTTCTTCATCGCAATATCCTCATGAGATCTTTATTCACTTTTGCAGAGAGAAATAAAGAGTGCAGCGGATGTAGTCTCCATTTTCAAACCGATAAGGACCAAGAAAAAGGATTTCGATTTCTTAGAACTAGTTTTCCAGCTTACTTCTGCAGACTTGTATCTCTGGTCAGAGCCAGAATTCGAACGAAATGTTTCTGTCCACGCTGATTGGCTTGATTTTCTAAAAAGATGCACGCTCAACATTGCCAGTAGTGATGAGAGGCCTCACGCGACTAAGGTACATCCTGAAGCTTGTGCTCTAGCTTCGAAAGGCCCTCCATTGACAGCGTTCTTCTGCCATTTTAGTACGGCCTACACCGTTTGGAAGGAATTTGTTATTGGTATCACTTATGTCTTCCCAACAGTTGAGTGTGTTAAGAAGCCGTTTCAAACACAACTGTCCAACTTACAGAACAATGACCTTTGATCTTGTGAGTGTTCAGGCACGCAACTTGGCATCATTCCTATGGCAAAAATTCCAGTTTGAAAAGTTTCAAAGCTGACACTTCAAAGCTGACAGCGAAGCCGAGTTTCTATTATAACTTCGACCCTGCGGGAACAATCGCTTCATTGATGCTTGCTCTCTGTACGGACAGTATACAAAAGGGTGTACTGACGAGAAGAAGCTGAATCATTCGAGTCAAAGCCAACTGCTAGTCTTCTTCCCTGGAAGTCCCACCGCCGGCTGCAAGTTATCAACCGAAGTGCAGGAGCGCCTTGAAGAAATTTCTCCGTCGTGTAGAATCAGCCGATGGCAACTGGTGCATACTCTACTGCCTGGGCTGTTCTGTACAAAAGTATCTTGAGAAAGTCAGTTCTCTCGGTCGGTTCACACACTCTCCGTATCCACATTTCTCTCTAAGGTAGTAGAAACTACCATGTCAAAAGAAGGGTGGAGTTCCCTAGCAAAAAGGAGTTTTGGAAGGTAAGGGAACGCACTCAGTGGTCAAACTAGGAGGATATGGAAATGTTTCCATCCCATTGTCCGTTGCAAAGCGGACTGCAGTACGCAGTTATTGAGTCAGACATGTATCGAGTAAGTTGTATTCACATCAACTTGGATTTGTCGCTCCTTCAACTTTACTTGTACATAATGTGAAAGCGCTCGTAGGGAGGAATGGAAGTACGAGGAGTAAAACGTATTGTTATTCCGATACTTCAACTGCGTAAATTGTTCAATTCATCGATCGTATGTAGCACTAGTTTTAGGAACGTTGTTTACCGGGAAGTACAGTCTTTCAAGCCAATTACATCGATTATGTATGTGCACTTGGGAATAGACATCAATCAGGTTGATGTACCATCGATTGACACCAGACTCCAGACTCAGTAAGTTTGTTCACCTTGCTCTACTCCTGCTCGAGTTGCATCTCGTCGCTTTTTCTAATTCTTGACTAGTACAATCTGGAAGATACAAATCACAAAAGATTAAAAAAAAATCGGTCATTATGAACTTGTTTCTCCTTTCAGTTCTATGGCTGCAGAGTGTTTTTGTTCTCGATACTTTTTCTGTCTTCGGTACTTTCGATTGCTTGACACTCCCGATCGGAAATTTCTTTCCTCCTCCCAAATAGTGTCAGATCTAGAATTTATAGACTTTGACCTCACTGAAACTGTTGTTAACACGTTATATTGTCTTCTACTGTCATCAAGGAGGTATTACAAGAGTTTGATTGTGGATCTCAAAGTGAATAGAAGATAGCGTCTTCAATGTGGAGTATGGATACAACGTGTCAAAAGCTTCACGATGTTAGTAATTATAAACAATAAGCTCCAAACTGGTTTAGTGACAAATATTCGACATGTTTTGTGCTGTATGGACTATTAAGACTTCTTTCGATCATATGAACCGTGGAGAAGATTAAGACGATAGCCATACTTGACACTGTTAAACGCAGTGTTACAAACCTGAAAGCGGATTTAACGAAACCCAAGTACACTAGATCTTGTCAGAGGCAAACACCACAAGACTAAAATTTTAGTTGCAGTTTACTTTCTATGTACTGATTCAAGATAGCTTGGAGCGGGTAGGTGTAACGAAATAATGCAATGACCTAGTTGATCACTTGAGTCCCTCCCTGTCGTTGTTGACAATTTCGGAATTGCAACTGGTTGAAGAAGAATTGTTGAAGAAGGTGAAGAATGAAGCATTGTTATATAAAATGTGTTCTTTCCATACCCATACAACCCACAATTTCCTCTAGGAGCTGATTTTTATTTTTCTTAAACTTATTCCAACAGCAGATCAACTTGTGTATGTAACTTCGATCAAATAGATAACGATTATTTTACAACATTTATGATAATTTTATCATATCTAAATGCACCTTGTCCACAATAAGAAAATATTTATAGATCAAAATAAAAATTCTCCGATCAATAAATAATATCATCAGCTAAATGGATCTGCACATCAACACAAGAAGAAAATTCTATCCTTGTATTGTACACTAAATCATGGATGTAATGTAATAAAATTTAAGAATTTTGAATTCTAAAGTATGATATTATTTCATGACTTAGAAAAGGAAACAAAAAGATCTTATCCAAAAGACATCTTTGTTGGTGATTAATTTTGTAAAATTCTAAGCTATCTTGAGTTACCTGTTATAATCAACAAACAGAATTTCACTGAATTTATACTATGTAACATAATGTAAAATGTGAAATCAATCAAAGATTTGATTCATATGAAAGCATTTATTCAAATGCAATCTTCACAATAAAGTAAAGCTAGCCAAACCTCTTTACAAAAGCTATAGGATTCTTTTATCAATAAAAGCTATTATGTTCTACAGTGGACAAGGGCAAACCAACTTCTTTGTGTTGACATTGACATGTATGCTTGTATCGATGATTTGACGTTGTGAGTTCTTAATATATGTTTGCATTTGCATTTTTTATGTGTGTTTGTGTTCTATTTAAATAGTCAACAACGTTTTTGTATATTATTTATGAACCAATTTGAACAATTGATATTGGAGCAAAATAGAGGTTAGTATTTTTGTGAAGAAGCTTGCTCTCTTCTTTCTTGAAATTTTTTTTACACAAGAATTTGTTGCTTTCATGGCGTTTATTGCATGATGAGTTGTAGTTGCATGATTAGAACAAATGGATGGCGTTTTCATTACAATTTGATGGAGATGATGAGGATAATAAGACTAACAAATTAATGAACATTTGATTTTTTGAACATGTGAAAGGATTGCAACAGCAAACAACAAATTGCAACATCAAGAATGAGAAAACAGGATTTAAAAAAAATTAAAAATTCTTTGGATAGAAATACATAGCATGAACAAATAGAATTTAAGAATGCTTACATTCCATGCAAATAATGAATTTCTAGCTCATGCCCTAGTTGAAGATTCGAGGGCGGACTTGTATTCAAACATTTGATGGTTATAAAATTGTGAATGAGGAGCAACCACATCCAGCATGTAACAACGTGTTGGCTGAGTTTGCCGAGAGTTGGTCATGCTAACAAGAAGATGTGTGAAAGTAATATTCCAAAAAGGTTTAATCTTTCAATTCTTAGCAAAAAATTTGTAACTTTGCAATCAAGCCTAAATGTCTAATGAAACCAACAGAATGTTTTGTTTTAGACTAGAGTGAGATAATTTAAAAATCATAATACATCGCAGATTTAGTAAGAGTGCATCAATCTACATGCAACATTAGTATCCGTGTGGTAAACAAACAATCTAAAGTTCACAAACATAAATCTTGTTGATAGTACCTGATATTACATTATTGTTATGCACAGTTGATATAACTTTTAAAAAAACACTTTCAAGATTTCTCTGCACATCCTAAATTGAAAGACGCTTTTACATCTTCGCTTTTCGATTATTTTCCACGTTTTAAAAAGATGCAAAAATGTTTTGAAGGAATCATGACACACAATATCCCAGATTGTTTAGTAATAATAAATCCAAATCAAAATTCCATGGCTATACTTGAAGCTAATCAATTACAAATACCTATTGTAGCTTTGGTGGATTCTAATATTCCAACCATTACTGACTAGAAACATACCAAATTATCCTTTAGGCGCTTCTACTGCTGTATAGGTAGAAGAAGCTCGTACGAAACACTTTCTGTATAAAGTTTAAAATGGTGAATTAAAGATTCCATGGATTGTTTCATTCGAGATCGTGCCGGAGGATCTAGTTTACGATCATCGGCTTTAATCATGCCACTAGGCATTTGATTAAGACATTGCATAATAATGATTCGAATACTTTGGCGCATCTCTTCAATACGAATACAATAACGGTCATAGCAATCTCTTCTGGTACCTACTTCAAAATCCAATCGGTCGTAAACATCGTAAGGCGCCGCACAATACATTGTGGTGTATTCTCAACTTTTTGAATTATTTGAGCAAAGGTTCCTGCAGCTCGAGTCAACTTTGCGTCTTAACATGGGTTCCTTTCAATATTATGTACCCACGTGCCTATAGGTATTTTGGCTAATGGTATGCAATTTCCGACCATTTGATAATATGAATCAAGTATGTATTTATTCTCACTAGAAGCGTAGTCTCCACTGGGGTGTGGCCAAGCCTGGCTATCCCGTGCGGTCTCTTCCACCCTAAGGCCCGAAGGGTCATTAGCTTTCTGGGACGGTTGATGGTAGTTTAACGGGGTCGAAGGTTTAGACCCATGAAAATTCATCACCGTCTTGCCTACTTCCAAATTTTCATTGGCTAATATATAAGTGAAAGGCTCGGAGGTGGACCCGAACCCGAAGGCCCGCATGAAGTGCGCGAGGAGCTTGTTCGGGTATCGTGTGCGGACCAGCCATTTCCGGCCTTCGGTACTTCTTCCCAATATCGTGTGCGGAAATCATCAAGCCATTTCCGGCCTTCGGCTCTTGGGACCAAGAGAGTATTAGGCTTTTTCTTCTCGGCGCCCCGCTCTGCGTTTTCCACCTTTGGTCTTCGCTTTGAGAGAACGTATTTTTGGTGTAGGTGTGTAGAATAAAACACAAACAAATATCAACTTGTTGAAACTCAATGCCTAAATTACAAGTCTTAGTGTGGTTTATATGAATTACATTCTTTTCGAATTGATCTTTGGTTGCAACTCTTGCTGTAAAAATACATGAAATGATGAAAGATGAATTTTAGATCCAAGGGATAGAATTTATTCATTTAAGTACTAATATGTTTGTAAATTAATTTTAAAGATTTGATGAAAGCATTTTGTTACATTTTTGAATATTTTTTCTAAATTCAGCTGGTGAATACAAACACTCATTCGTATCATAGCTAAGTGCTAAAGTTTGCAGGATTCAAAACATCAAATCATGGCTTGTAGTTTAAACGTTAATATGCATCTTCAAGTTTTGAAGTGAGTAGAAAATTTGACAACTGCAAAGTTGGTTGTCTAACAAATTTGCAGCATTTAGAAGCATTTTTCATACATACAACGTTAAAAATTACATCCATGAGTAGACAAAATAAAATGATGGAAATGAAATTAAAGGAAGCAAAATATGATAAGTTAAAGATGATAAACATTGTGATTATTTACTCTAGGAGAGATAGCTCTAAAGCAAGCTGATTACTATGGATCTGGACAAGTGTGTTAATTATATTCACAAAATATGAATAATTTTGTATTTAAAACTCCAAACATATATTTCAAAGATTTTTTTCTTACTTAGTATAACTAAACATGATGAACCAAAGTAGAATAAAAAATTCATCAAAATTTGAATTAACCTTAACAACATAAACTAATGTGCTTCAGCTAAAAGATTTATTTCAATCAAAGACACAAATTTCTTATGTAAAATTCTGATTTATGTCTCAAAAAAATATCTGCTAGCATTTGTAGATCTTGATGGTGTCTTAGTATAATTGTTATTGTAGAATTATTACATTAAATAATTAGCTAGTTGATTTTTTTCACACATAAATATTTATATAAATAATGAATTCAATCATCATGACATCAATAATGCAATATAATTTATATTATTTAAAATAAAAATAAAATATTGTGGATATACAACTATACTTTATTCAAAATAAATTCACATTCACAAGGAAAAACACACTTCAGTTATATGTGATGGAAGAAAAGTTGAGGATGAAGAGCATGTGTTTCTTAATTGTACTAAATATTTAGAGATTGGAGTGGTTCATAAAGTTGTTGTTCAGAATTTTTATTCTTTGCTTGAGCTTGAGCATTATGATTTAGGTTGTTACATTAGAGATGTTATTAGTTAACATTCTAGTGCTCTTGGCACTAGCTAGAGTATTCTTTTGGTTCTCTCCTAGGTTGGAGTTGGATTTTTTGTATTGTGTTTTTCAGCCTTTTGACCCTTTGGGTCCCACAGGCTTGATCTATTCACATTCACAAGGAAAAACATACTTCAGTTATATGTGATGGAAGAAAAGTTGAGGACGAAGAGCATGTGTTTCTTAACTGTACTAGATATTTAGAGATTGGAGTGGTTCATAAAGTTGTTGTTCAGAATTTTTATTCTTTGCTTGAGCTTGAGCCTTATGATTTAGGTTGTTACATTAGGGAAGTTATTAGTTAACATTCTAGTGCTCTTGGCACTAGCTAGAGTATTCTTTTGGTTCTCTCCTAGGTTGGAGTTAGATTTTTTGTATTGTGTTTTTCATCCTTTTGACCCTTTGGGTCCCACAGGCTTGATCTATTTACAATACTTTAAAAAATTATTTTAGAACTGATTAAATTAGTGCAAAAAAGTACCCTTTTAGGTGATTTTTTTGATTTTGTGTTTTAAAATATTGAAAATTATCAAATGTATATATTTCAAATGAAACGATTTTGTGTATTTTAGAAATTGTCATTCTGAAACATTCCTATAGATAAAAAATATATTCATAAACATACTTTGATTATTTATTTTCAATTCAGTTTAATCATCTCCAATTTTGAAATCTGATGGTATATAAATATAAAAGCTTTTAACTCAAGAAGTATCCCAAATGGTTTTGACAACTAGAGTAGAACTGTCAATAGTAACATGATCTCATTCATTATCAAGGTCTTACTGAATGTAGTAGAAAAGAGTCAAAGAAATGAAATGAAAAAATTGTCAGATGTAGCATTTGTCTAAGCACTACATTGAGAAGTTTTTACTAGAGAAATGTACATTTGAATCATTAAATACCCAAATTGTAATTTATGAGCCCTTCTGATGAGTCATAAGCTTCAATCATAAGCTCATATTATGGTGTTATAGATTATCTATTATAAAATCACAATTTTTTCTAAAAGCTAACTAAAGGTGTAGTCTTCTCCTTTTATGTCCTCTTATAAAGTGCTCATGACTTAAGTTCGGACTGCGACTTGGAACTACATCTCATCATATCAAAACAGGTATATTAAGAAAAGGGTATGTATTGCATTTGTATGTAAAAAAGGATATGTATTTGAATGAATAATATCAACTGATAAGATTGTTATCCTGTTGTTGATGCTTGTTCATGTCAGTGATTATCAAAGAAATATATAGTTACACAGGGTAAATACAAAGTGGGTGAGATGTCGGCTTGTGTTGTAAAGCAGTGGCGAGATCAGGTGCTTTTTGACTTATATATTTGACTTCGAACTTCCCTATCTGTAGCTTTTTTTGACACACATATGTGCTGCTTTTTCTTTATCGTACCATGTATCCTATGAGTAGACATGTGATTCTGTGGGTGGTTTAAGAAGAAGCGGCTATTTGTGTAAAGTGACTAATGGTTGTGGGCTACCTTGATCCTATCCTAGTAGTTTGAAATATGTGTGGATACCAACAACCATGTCAACCATGCATGAGCGCTGATTTAATTGCATCAACTATGTATTGTGTAACTATAATAAGCAGTCTTGGCTTGATCTACCCATATGACTCTTCAACTGTGATGTCTGAGTTTGTTACTGCGATGCATGCATGATGGATAAGTAAAATTCATTGTTTGTTCGGATCCAAAAGACAACTACCATAGCGAGCGCGAGGACATGGAGTTTGCTTTGAAACAAGAGAAAGAATACTTCACATGAGGATGATGTTAGGCGATAGCATGAACAGGGATTAGGTCATATGTTTAACTTAGAAGAGAATTAAAAACGGTGATATTGATTTTAGTGTATATATATCCACACAATGCCACGCTATACATCCAAGTAACTGCGCAGAAGGGGTGCACAGAGTATAGCGTGGCATTTCTTGGGTGTATATACACTAAAGTCACTACCTTCATAAAAAGTTGTTGCAGTAGAGAGTGTTTCACCAAAGATAATATTCACCTTCTTGGATTAGCAGCGAGTTAAATAATACTTAGGAAAAGTTTTAAATATATGAGGTATGCACAAATTTATGTCTTCATTTCTCTAATATTGGAATTTATATAGATTTGGAAAAGATTATATTACGTTTATGAGAAGATACCCGAGAGTTCTATCAACTTAAGCACTATATAACTAGAAAGTTTAGCATATATTATACTCTATTTTTGGTTATGTTTATTCATTATTCTTCAAATTCACATATTGATACGATAACATACCACAAACAGTTCAGAAGTGCATGGCTACTCATGGGATAAATATCACGATACAGCAAAAGCAATACATGTATGTATCGTAAAAAGCCACGGCTACATACGTTACAAGTAAAAAAGAAAGAGCAACTTATGTGCTTATCTCGCGACTGCTTTACAAGATAAGCCGATATCTCACCCACTCTATATTTACGAAGTGAAACTGTAGATTTTAATGATAAATAGTGTCAGGAACACGCATCACCAGATGTACAACTAATCATCATTCAATACTCATTCATACGATCGCAATAAATATACTTTGTTGTATATGCCAATTCATCAAAAAATAAATGCACATAGATTGATGATTCTTTAAGTACTTGTGTAGTATATAGCCTATTTGAGATGAAAATTTTGGATATCCTAGGTAAATTATGGCATATCTTCCAATTTTTCTTCGTCCTAGCCATAGTTAACCTCTTTACATTTATCCATATACTAATTGAGGATGTATCCTCATTCTT